CAACAGTCTGTTTCACTTCCTCACAGTATGTGTCTGCTGAAACAGACTGCAAGGCTGTGGTTGTAAGCCAGGGAGGTAGTAAATAGCTAGTAACTTATATTTACCTTGTTTCCACATCCTTATTCCTAACAGCATCCAGTGTCCTGAGTTTTGGCTCTGGAGTCCCATTTTTGCTTCTCCAAAGGTCTTCTTCCCAGGAGGGAAAAACTTGCTGCCCTTGGATCCATATCTTGCAGCATAAATCCAAAAGGGCAGAGCAGTGCAAGTATAAACATTGCTGCAGTCAATATCCAGTGTGTGCCAAATGTGATGGGCTTGGGGTGGGTTATACAATGTAGTCTTTTTGCTGTTGAACACTGGCTCCAGCATTTCCAGTCTCTTAGCCAGCAGTGTGTGCTTTGCTGACCACACAGACTGTCAATGACAACTTCATAACTGGTTAGGCTCACAGTGCAGCACTGGTGCTTCCAGTTCCCTTGACCCTTGCCTTGAATGAGATTCAGGGGATGGGTTTTCTTTTAAAGTACAAGCCTGAGCTCATTATACTGCTGCTGTTTTGTGTGGTCAAATGTGGAAACTGGAATCTCTTGGTGAGCAGCGTGATGTTTACTGCTTGTGGGTCTGGCACACAAGTCATCATTGTTATCTTGCCAGAAATTCACTGCTGTGCTGCTCTGCCTAGGATTTCCAAGAGTCAAAACAGAGTTGAGTAAAGCAAAAGGAAACTGTACCTCAATACTTAACTCCTGGCAGGCTTTCCGGTACTGTGTATTTGAACTGAATTTCTGGAGATTTATTTGCATTTGTCAGGTCTGGGTTTGGGGTTTTGTCTAAGGCAAATCAAAAAGCAGTTTCTGTCCTGGCAGGCACTGCAGTACTATAAAAATAAAAGCAGGCATTATTTATGCATACCAGTGTATGATCCTAAGTCTCTCTTCAGGAAAACATCTGTTCATGCATGTTTGAACCCAAATGATGAGGCTAAAACTGGCATGGGTAGCTCTGCAGGGCTGTTCTAATGATAGCTAATTTTTGATGGTGCTACCCAGGACTTGTGGGATGTTGCATGTTTTGGTCTGCTTCCTGAGGTTGCCTTTTGTTGCTCTGTTGTGGAGTGAGGTTTGGGTGTAGCTGAGTGACCAAGTCAACAATCACATTCACCACTGTGGCAGTTTTTCATGGCATACATCTGTCAGTAAGTTAAGGTTGTTAAAAATACAGTATTAACTATGGGATTGCATTGCAGAAAAAGAAATGGTAGAAATGGCCCTGCACATATGATAGCTTATAATGGTCTTATTCTACAAGCTAACATTGAGTTATAGGCCCTTCCTCTTGTATAGCCAGTTATTAATGAGTTTTTTGTGGGGAACAGTTTCTGCAACAGACTTAAATCTGATGCTGCAGTACTGTGTGCTCAGGAGAACAGTGGTTGAGCCAAAGACAATGCTGCTCTCTTAGCCCTGAAGAAAAATAAATTGCTCCAAAGGTACCTCTAAATCCTTATTGTCAGGTGGATGTTCTGTTTCACTTGCAGAGACAGAAGTAGAAGGATATGGTTTTTTTCAGTCTAGTCTACTCCTGCTGTCAGCATCATGTCATATAATAACTTTCATACTTCACCGAACTGTGTCTTAAAAAGCAGAACCTCACAGTCCTAAAGTAGTGATTTTTTTCTGTTGGAAACCACAATTCCCTTTTAACCGAATCATTGTAAAGAGAACAAAACTACTACAATTGCAAGCACTGCAGGGAAAAGTGCTACACTATGCCTCAATAAATATTAGGAGAGAAAGGAACAGAGTTGGGCAGCTGTTTGCATAACTAACCTTACAAGGTTGTTTGTGTGTTTGCAGGATTTTATGCGAGTCCTGAGGCTTTTCCTTCCTCTGCTTAAACATGTGCAAAATGGAGAAAACACTTTCACAGTAAATCTTGTTGTAGCTAAGTTCGCCAACTTCCAGACACTGGTAAAACCTGTCTTACATGTAATAAAACTGTAGCTGTGTTCTCAGTCTTGGAAACCGAGTCTCAAAAGCTGAAAGTTATTTTCCCTATTGCAGACCTGTGAGGTTTTTCTAGAACGGATATCACTTATAGATTTTTAGCTATAAATGGCAAGATGTGCTCCGTTTAATTATCTTTTTTTTCCCCTTTTTTCGATTGACTTACTACCATTCTTCTAATAAGACTTTTTTGCTTGTATGTTTATCTGGACTTGTTGGGTTGACAACCGTTTTCTTCATTACATTTTTTGCTGGTTTCTTTACTTCCTCATATAGTTTCCTATCTCCTGTCTGTTCCTCTGTGTAGAGAACACTTCTACTGGACCGGCTAACCTTTCTGTCCAGAACAGGAGGGTTTCAGATTAATCTTAAAGGCTGAGCACTGTGCTGGAAACAAATCAGTAACAATATGCTGCTGTTGGATAACAGGTTTGAAAAGCTGAGGAGTAGCTTTCACCTTGAATCAGCATTTCGTTTAGAGCTTGGGGGATGATTCCATTTTATATGGACCCTTTTGTAAAACAAGCTGCAACCCATCCAGATGCATCCTTTCATCTGCTTCACAAGACCAGCAGCAGGTTATGAATATCAAGCTCATTGTGTCAAAAGAACAAGGACTTGGAGGCTTATCATTTATAACCTAGACCTACTCTGAAGGCTGCTATTCTCTCCCAGTGACACTAGCCCTTAGTTCTTACTACTTAACGATGCCTCGCAACTATAAAGCTGTTAAATGGATTACCTGGGCCAGTGCTGACACATGGAGCTCTTTCTGCTGGAGAACCATAGTTGTATGGTGAAGGAAAGCCTCAGGAAGAGCTACTTGTGATGCAAGGGCAAATCAGTGCCTGGCTGACTTTTACAGGACCTCCTGGTTTAGGTCTAGGGAAAGTTGCCTCTAAGTAGCAAACATTTCTACGAAAAGGGAAAAAAGCAATCTGGGAGGGGGGCAGATGTCTGTATCTTCAAAGACTGTTCCAATGTAATTCTATTTGGTGCCCTGGACTGAAGATGTCAGAAAAAATGCTTTCATAAGAAACTTGAGAATTAAAAGTATAAATGATCCAGTGTCAAGTATCAAATGTTGCTCTGGGGGCATATGATTCATCTCACTGGAAATGGTCCATTGGACAGCAGGGTCAGATTTTGCTCATGTTGCTCAGCAAGCTGCTCCTGCTATCAGTACAACTCTTTCTAGAAGACACATTTTGGAAATGAAGTTTTATAGGAAGAGCTAACTGGCTCAGGTGAAACCCACATTTGCTGGGAGTACGTATTCTTAGTTTCTTCGTCCTTGACCTGTGTTTTGTGGAAGACAAATACTGTGACATTTTGCCTTTCTTTGTTTCACCTATTTAGTGAATAATTAGTCTAAATAATTAATCTAAAATTCACCTATTTTGTCTGTAAAATGTCATTAGTAAGGATGACTTTTTGGGACCCTTGGCATGGACTTGTAACATGTGAACATGCTACACAGGATGGAACAGGGAAACTTACCAGGGATACAATTCTCCTAACTGAAGCTGCTTTTATACTGCAAACTGCAGTTCTCCTAATGACACTTGCTCCATGCAGCTTTGTGTGATACTGTCCCAGATTTATGACTGGTGGTTTCCTGAAGAGCTAGTTGGGTAATCTGTAACAAATCCAAAAGTGTAATGAAGTAGGTCACTTTTCTTGAGTTTTAATGTGAAACAAAAATGATGTAGTGAGCTTTTTCTTCTCTGTGGTGGGGGAAAATCTAGCGCGTTTTCAACTGGGATCCCACAGCTTTTTGGTTTCTGAAGTCAATCCTGTGGAGGTGATGTTAGATTTGTAATGCTGTCTCACACAGCAGACACCCACACAGTTTTAGTGACAGTAAGTGAGCTGAACCATGTCTTCAGCTTTCTACTTGTGTGTTTGTAATGGTATTAATGTTCTGACAACAGCAGAGATTGCCTAAGCAAAAGAATATATATAAAAAAAAAGATTTATAGCTCTTGTAATGTGATTTAGGTGCTAGAAACAAGAATAATATCACAAGGCCAAAACATTTAGACCACCAATGTAAGGAACTTCAGCTCCAGGGGTTAGGATACAGTTTTTCTTGGCTGCCTGGTCTAAACACACTGGATAATACGGTTTTATGTCTGTAATGGGCTGCCTGAACTGCTTATGTATTTAATAATTACTGTTTTCTATGTAGTGCCGTATCTCTCTATGTAGTACCACATCGAAGACTCAAATGTAACCAGTTTACCACCTTGAAGGATTTGGTCATTGCTGAGAAGCCATCCCACCTGATGGGCAGTGGGAATGTTTCAGCCAACTCACTGCCAGGTGGATCTCAAGTGCCTGAAGTACCTTGGGCTGTTTCAACAAAAAATTTCACTCCTTTTTCCAGCACCACATGTTTCATAGGTGAACACGGAGACCTGCTGTGTGGTGTGCGAGGAGGATGAGTTGCAAGAGTGCTCTGTACCAAGATGAGTGGTGCTCCCAGCTCGGGTTTCAGAACACCTTGGCTGCAAGAACCAGCCCCCCTGAGCATATTGCTGGCCTTGATGCTCTTGGGGTTCAGCTTTCGCATAATGATCAGATTTTTTTTTTTAAATGCAAACATCAGTAATACACAGCATTTTGTGTTTTATTCTGTTTTCAGGTTAAATTACTGTCTATTTAAAAGCCTAATGGTATTCAAAACATCTGAACATTTTCACACAGCAGTGTGAAAACACAAAATGAAGTATACATCCCCTCAGGGGTTTAAATTAAAGTATGTTGTTTGGTTATTGATGGGTCACAACCACACAGTCCAGATACGATTCTCTAGTCAATTTGATTTGCCATGTCAATGAAATATGACAATTTTCCTCCTTAGCATGTGCCCTTTTCTCTTATTTGACTATGATTATGTTGTGGTAGTGACATTAACGTACAATGGTTGTGGGTGAAAGATGTCACTTTTATTAAAATCACAGAAATTATCTCAAATGATATCTCCGTAGGTGGATGGAGGTCTGCTTGAAAGAAGAGCTGCCTCCGACTACAGAGCTTGAGGAGGGCTTAAGAAACGGTGTTTACCTTGCCAAGCTTGCAAAATTCTTTGCTCCTAACGTGGTGTCCGACAAAAAGATCTATGATGTGGAGCAGGCACGCTATAAGGTAATAACTTTTTCAGTTCTCTCACCAGCAAGGCAAAAAAAAAAAGAGTAATGTCTGCCTTCCAGCTCTCAAAGATACCTGTGTGGCTGCTAATTTTCTGCATCTCTTTTGTAAGGCTGTCAGGACTTAGATGGAAGACTCACAGTACTAAGAAGCCAGCTTGATAAGTTAGAAGTGTTTTACCCTTAGAAAAACTATGTTAATGTCACTTAACGTTTTTAAAGCTGAAAAAAATTACACTTCTGGATCCAAGGAGGACATGAGATTTACCATTTACAAAATTATTTCTCATTAGGAACAGAAACCAAAAGCAATTCAGTAGTGAAACTTGGTAAATATCCTTCCACACAAAGTGAGGAATATACAGAATATTTATTTCTTTAGATCTGTGTCTTTATTTTACCAAATTTAACACTGAGAAGGAAAAAAACAAGCTACCGGTAATTAAACTTAGTGTGCCACCTGTGCAAGCTGTTCATTAACTCCAAGGTCCTCAATAATAGAGAAATGTATGTATATGCGGTAGTCCCATTATGGAATGCATTATCTCGGCATTTAGAGGAGGCAAAAAAGAACCTTAAGATGAGACATTTTTAAGGTCTAAACATTGGCTTTTGTACAAGAGTTGAGAGCTGAGTTAAGCTGTTCTAGGTCCCATATGGTTAACAGAACCATGGTTAAGAATCCTGGTTACATTTAAATGCTTCTCTAGAAAATCTCCAAAACTTGAGTTGAGGCTTGCTTTTCCCCTTTACCCTGACTGTATTTCAGGGTGTGTATGGTTTTTGGTATTGTGTTTTGTTTTGTTTTTTCTTTTTCAATTTTTAGACTTACCCACTTTGTTCTTTCAGCAGCTCCTTTCATAGGCTGTAGGGAAGGCTGGGTATCAGGTAGATCTGAAGGGTGACTAAGAGCTCGTTGTCTGTTCTCCTTCATAGTAGTACTGAGCAGGGCTACCACTTCTGTATTTTGGAAGTAGTGGTTCCTGGTATTTGATTCTAATCCCAAAAACTACTGAAGGGCCATACAAATGGACACTTCTGTCACAATCTTCCTGGATGGGTATAAATCTGGCTTATGTTACATAAAAGAAAGAGCTGGTCAGTATAGGGCTGTTGATGTGTTAGGATGCTTCATTAGCAGACTTGTGGCTGTGAGATTTTGGTCTCCAGGTTCAAACAAACGAAAATCCCCTGAACTTAAGGATATAAAATTGGGAAGCAATAGGAGGATCAAGAATTGGAGAATTTGCTGTATATGATTTTTCTCTTTTCCTTCTGTGTTTCCAATAGAGATCTGGGCTTCATTTTCGGCACACTGACAACACTGTGCAGTGGTTAAGAGCAATGGAGTCCATTGGTCTGCCTAAGGTAAGCCTTTAAATTTTCGCAAAGAAACTGCCTCAAGGTACCAACTCAGTACCCACTCAGTGAGAACACCTTCCATGGGCTTTGAGCATAAATGTTTGCTTGCGGTAAGACCACAGGAAAGGAGTAATTGAGGAAACAAATCTGAAGAGACGGTAATGCTGAAAAGCAGTGTCAGTTATGTGCTACTGCTGCTGGTGGCCATGGGCTGAGGGTGCTGTGGGTGAGTGCTGTGGGTGGAAATGGGCAGGGTGCTGCTCCTGGGGGAAGACAAATGGGAATGCCGGCAGTGTTTTAGCTGTATCTTATTGCTAGTACAGTCTCAGGGGAGGAGGGGCTTAAAAGGCTTATGGTGTAAAACAGAAAACTTAAATATTTGCTTCCTTTAGGTTACTGCCTCTCATCGTGTCTCTTGCTGCCTCTTCCTCTTAATGTACGTCCCAGTTTCTCTGCCTCTACCCTGTTTCCAGACTGTTCTTGCACTCTCCAGTACGTCTGTGTGGCTATGCTGCTGCTCCTCTTCTGCCAGCTGTTTTCTTGGGCTACCTCTCATATTTATCCTCCTCCTTGCGGGTCTTCGCTTGTCATCTCCCCCCTCTGCTGCTGTTTCTGGGCACCAGTGAGTCTTTTCAGATGAAACTCCCTTAAGAAATGACTGTGTGGAAACATGTGCTTTGCTTGTTTGGACACTACTGCACCTGCACGTATTTCGGGGCAAGTGCTCCCTCGCACACGCTGCCTGGCAGCTGCCCTGGGGTGCCTGGGTTGGGGTAGCCCTGGTGCTACCCCTGCGCTGTAGGGTCAGGCAGAGCAAGGATATGCAGAAGGCTGCCTGAAGAGCTGCAGAGGCTAGTGGCTGGTCACTGGGGGCAAATTCCCTGCAGGTGTTCGTAAGCAGAAAAGCAGTATGTGACTGCCATCAGAAACGCGGTAGAGGTTAGGAAGGTTCTGCTTCTCTCAGGGCAGGCTTTTTTTTTTGTGTGTGTCTAACTTGAGTCCTCCATTCAGCTGGCTGATTTCTACCCCGCCATACTCCTCTGAGGGGTTTCGCTTCTGTTGCGGAGGAATGGTCATGGCCGAAAGATTTCCTGAGTCTCCTTCCCCAAACTGTTGTGAGCAAATGGAGATCACTGTGGTCCTGAATTACTCTGTCTTGCCCTATTAACAGTGGGATGTTGCAGCCCCGAGTGCCTGGCTTGGGCTGGAAGCATGCAGCCAACTCTCACAGTTAGTTAAGTCTTTTATTTTATTTTTGTGGAGAAACAGTGTTTAATGACTGGGACCAAGGCCAGGAACAAATCAATGGTAGAACCAGAACTGGAATTTGTGATGTGACTCTTTGGCTAAATTTCTTAATATTCTTCTCTCTAAATCTCTTCCTCTGTAAATGATGTTTTCACACAGTTAGGGGTGCTGGCAATTAGAATTTTGCATTTTAAAGTCATACTTGATGTGTTTCATTTTGCAATGAGGCTTAGCAAATTGTAACTGCATCCCAGGTTTTGGGTGTCTGTATGGGTACAAGCCCTGCTGGCTGAGCTCATGCTGGAGGACATTCTCTAAAAATCTTGGTGAAATGCTGTCTGCTTATGCTCCTTTTTTCCTCTCTTACTAAGTCGCTTTTATGCTTTATAAACTGAAAACTACTGATAAAGTTAAAATCACATCAGGAGAGACTTGATCATAACTTGATAGAAGTTAAAACCTGAACTTCTCTAAGTTTAAGGTATGGTTCTGCAGAGAGCTCATTTTAACTACATTTCTGCTCAGTAATATGCCTTCTCTGTTAACTGTGTGCTCTTTGGTTTTTAGATCTTTTATCCAGAGACTACAGATGTCTATGATAGGAAAAACATCCCTAAGATGATCTATTGCATTCACGCTCTAAGGTAACTGGTGGTGGTAGTAGAAGTTTAAGAAATTGCCAGATTTAGGAGTATAAGCCTTGAAATGGCTTTAAGGTTACCAGTATATCAAAGTCTGTCAGAATTTGCAAGTTCCTGAATTTAAAGTTGAAGGAAAAAGGTTTTGCTTTGTCAGGGCTAGCCCAATTATTTTCAAAACAGAAATGAAGGACTACTGAATTTAGCACAGACATCCCTTTTAATGAGTACACCTCATCACAAAGCACACATACCATTTCAAAACATACTGCAACAGAAACCAAAGAAAAGAACAAAAACTTGGCAGAATATTAGTATAACCATAGGATAGACATGCTGATCAGAGTGAAAATGATCATGAACCAACACCTTTCTGTCCCAGAAGAAGATCAAATACTGTATTCTGAGGTCATTCATGTAGGAAAATTAACATTTTCCAAGATTTTACTGATTCTGAATGTCAAGTCAGGAAGGCCTTGACCAAACCACTGAAGACAGAGCTTAAAATTTTATGTCCTGCATTAACGATTTTCTTGATGTGTAGCACTAAAAGTAAGGAACATCTGCCTCATGCTGTCGCTATTGTGAGGGGCAGTGGTGTTGGCAGGCAGCTCCTCCCTCTTGTGGCTCTCCCACCTCATTTTCTGCACATGAGGAACCTTTACCTTTCATTAATTTCTTGCATACTAGGCTTGCAAAGAATGTAACTTAGGCCCCCAGACTCTCTTCTACATTCCAAATGGTGTTCAAAGGCACATCAGCTGCTCCAGGGTTATAGGTCAAAAACTATTCAACACATGCTATAATTGACTTTAAGGCCTTAACTGCAGTCAATGGGAGCAAAATGCTCCAGCTATCCAAGGGGTGTGTTTGACATCTGAAATCCTAGCATTTCACAGGGTAAGTCTTTTTGGTTATTTGTGGTTTTGCTAATCTTTGAGCTGCTAGAGGGCTTGAAGTTAGACAATGGCTCTAAGCAAAATGGTTTAAATATGTTTTTACGATATGGCCTTGTTCAAGTCTGAAATGAAGACTATTGTATTTACAGTATGTGGAACACATTACACTGTCAAATAAAGCACTGCTCTGGCCAGGAAGCAAGGACTTAACAAACACTTTCTAGACTCCTTAAAGCCAGACTTGAAAAAATACAAAGGCCTGGTTCTCATTTCTTACACAATTTTTCTTGTGAAAGCCAATTGGGATTCGGTACTGGAGTAAATGAGGTTAAGAAATGATTCATTAATATTAAGATGCTAAGAGTGATCCTTTTCCTAAATAACAGTGCTTATGATATTTCATTTTCCCCTGAAAAATCTAGTTTTCAAATGATCTCTGCAAGCAGATCACTCCTATGTCCTAGACAAATTTAACCCTCTGAAGACTGACAGCTTCAGAACACTTTTTTTCTTAGGAAGCAGTAGAATAACAAGCATATGTTTAAAAAGAAAAGTGCACTATTCAGATTTTTTTTTTTTTTATGGCACGCTACACATAAGCCAAGCTTGAAACAAGATGCAGGAACCTCTGGCTGGCATGAACCTTCAGTTCTGCATGGGCAATGCAAAGGGAACTTCACCTGGGAATTGTCCTATCCTGTTTGTTTCTCCCCTGCGGCCTCATATCCAGATTTCTTAACACCAAGATGCCCTGCTTTTGATTTTGTCGGTTCCCTGAGGTTCAAGGTACACTGTAAAAGTGTTAGGCAAGCAGTTTCAGGTAAAATTATGCCTTAATACAGAGTAGTAGCAGCACCTTTGTGTTCCCTGAAAGACTAGGAGCATATTTCCAGCACCACCTGGTGGTTAGTAAGTTCATCCTAAGAAAGGAGTGTAGGAAGTAACACAGGTGGCTCAATATCCTCCTGGAAGTCCTGAACAGCAAAAATATTACTCTAATTTTCATTACACCTTTTTTCCTCGATGGTCTTTTTGTGTGTGTTGGCCCTCCAAAAAAGCCAGCCTAGCCCTGTGATGCTGCTGATCTCCATAAGTGGTTGTATGACACTCAGCACTTCAGCCAGGACTGTGTCCCTGTCTGAAACCTAGAGTAAAATCTCTTTAAAAGCTCATAAGGAAAGAATGGCAGGCAGATCAGGGTAATGCAGGGGGCCTGGTTCATTCCTCTAATCATGTGGGGCTTTTTCTACCAAGAATAAAACACAAAAGGGAAATGCGCCCTTCAAGAAACAAAAACTCCAAGCCATAATGCACATTTGCCATGTATGAAGTTGGGGTGATGTCATTTAAGAGAGTTGCAAAACTCCTTTGGAGGTATTTCAGTCTTGTTTTTAAAAGTCTACGTTTTTGATTCCTGCTTGCAAAACTCACTTGTTTATTGAATTTCGCTGATAAATTATAGAAGCACTTGTCTTTTGTACAGAATACATGCCTTGTGTTTGGAAGATACTGAGAAAATACGTATGTACTCAGCTGTTTCTACAGATAGGACCCCAGAACTCTTGGAATAATGGGTATAGATATTTTTCATTGAGACAAAAATATTAGTTCCTCACTTTAAAGTGAGCTTACTTAATTTTCCAAAAGCTAAATAGCTAATGACATAAATATATTTGGGACAGGCTTGGATGGACTTACAGGTCCTCATTCCTCTCTACTAAGGTGTTAGTTATTTTTTTTGTCTTCAGCTATTAATAACAGGGATGTAATAACATAAGTCAAAACAGTATGTAGATCAAAAGCTGTATTAAAATGCATTCACCTCCTGATTTTTTTTTCCAAGACTAGCTTTTGAATTGCTTTAATTGTTTTTCACTAAGGTTTTCTACTTGTTTACACATCCCCTGTGATCTGAGGTATGCTCACAGTGCTTCTCCTAGAAATGCTTCTTTGAAATATCAAATTAAATGCTTTTTCTGTAAAACTTAAAAATACAGCATAAAGAAAACTGTAGTGTTAATTTATTCCATATTGGCCCATGAAAGTCAAGTGTTAAAGAACAAGCTTCCTAAAAGTACTTTTTTCTCATACAGAAAGTGAACACCTCAACCACATACAGAACTTTAAATTCTGATTTTCTTTTTTGCAGTTTATATCTGTTCAAACTAGGATTAGCACCACAGATCCAGGACCTACTGGGAAAAGTAGACTTCACAGGTAATAAACTGCTTATCTAATCATGTGTCAGATGGATTCTTCACCCAGTAAATCTGCTAACACTGTACATACTTGCTGTTATGGTCTTTCTCCTCACACAAGATTGTTCTGAACACATCCTAATTAAATAGGTGGGAGGCTGCTATTTTTAATGAATGTCAGTCTTTGAAGGACAGAAGGGAGTGAATTTGCATGCATTACTTGCCATATCTTAGATTCCTTCAAAATGAGGAGAAAAAACATCTAAGAAGCCTTGGCCGCATGCACTTTCAAAAGCATTGCACACGTATTTGTGGGTATGGTATTTCATAATGAAATTCTTACTATTTTGTTCTGATATCTATTTTTTTATGTGAACAGAGGAAGAAATCAGCAACATGCGAAAGGAGCTAGAGAAGTATGGTATACAGATGCCATCTTTTAGTAAAATTGGTGGGATTCTTGCCAGTGAATTATCAGTGGACGAAGCTGCATGTAAGTGTGGCTCTTGTTCTTTTCTTTTTCTACTGGATAATTTGGTAGAACATTAATAATATTTTGTGGTTTAATTCTTCTAGTTTGCCATCTCTTAATAAATAACAAGAAAAGCAAGTAGGTTTTCCCTATCACACTGCATCATACAGCGCTTTTTGCTCAGAAATGCAAACTGAAAAATTGCGTCTCCACAGGAAGTGCTACCAGAAACAAATATTTCTTATGATCTTTTGCATGGGTTTAATGTTTTGGTTGCTAGTGATGCTCTAGAATGATGAACTGAGCTCTGCGTGTGCCCCTGCACTTGAAGGGGTAGAATAGAAACAGCCTTGGGTACAAGGTGTCTTCTCTCTGCCTCTTTCTGTGTTGGGTTCTTGCAGTTTTGCTCAAACACCTCATCGGGTTGCTGTGAGGACAAAGCACTGTTCCAGATAGACAATGCTCCCACTTAACGGTGGTACATACATGGAGGAATCACCTGCCTTCATGGGCAGCTTTGGGTCTGTCTGATCATTGGTGTGTGACCAACAGCATGGTAGAACTTTGCTGGAGGACACGTCCTGCTGGTGCATCTGAAACCACCTTTTCCTTTTCAGGGGAATTGATGCACAGTTACTATCCTTTTGAGTGTGCCTTGAATCGCTTCCACCTAAAAAACCCCCAAAATTAAATGCTTTCTTGCTGCCCAAGCCTATCCATCTGAAAATCTGTTTTTTCCTCATTTCACTTTATTTGTAGAATTAAGTGATATATTAAAAAAAAAAAAAAATTGCTTGAACTTAAATGACATGAAAAGAAGTGTATCCACTTAAATCCATGCTTAAGATGTAGTTATTTAGTTCAAAATCCTAGCCTTTTTCACAGGGGCAAACTGAAGAACCCAAGGACTGGCTTGGGTACCTTCAGTGGCACAGTGGATCTTTGATATAAAGCATTAACAGCAACACAGGCTGTACACAGGGTTGGGGGAATAAAAGCTACATTTTAATTAATTACCATTGCAACTCTGTTAAACCTTGCAAAGTAGCATAATTGAAGCAAGCTGATTCATTATGCTAGTGTGATGACATTGCTGGAGTTCTAAGTTAAAACATGCTTATTTGTGTTGATTCGTATTTTCTCTCTTGTATATTTTGGACCCTGCTGTAGCTTAATTTGTGCATGCTTCTTCAAATCTAGCTTTTAAATAGTGCCTTTGGACATGTGAGTAATTTTTCTCCTTTTATAGTAAATTTTCATAGATTTAGTGACTACCAAGCACTTTTCTAGGGAGCTTTCTTCCTTCTCTGAAGATGAAAGGGCTGCAACTTCCTTCTTTGAAAGCTTTTTATAGTGTGTGTGGGGTTTCCTTTAACTTCTGAAGTATTTCCAGTCTTCAGTACAAAAGCAGAGTTTCCTGATGCTGGCTCTGTCTCTTTGGGCAAGGAGTCTGCTGTAGATGATAACTCCTGCCCCAGAACAGGAAACATCTGTTGTTATGGGAGCCTTCATGCATTACTGAGGTGGAAGATCCTGCCAGAGGAAAGGGACTACGACCCTGCTTCCAAAATAGAGTAAGCAAAAGGAGATATGAAGTGAAACAACTGCTGATGACTCCTGCTGTGCTGTCAGCAATAGCAGAAATCAGCATGCAAAGAGTAAGCTTAAGCACTTTCAAGGCGAGCTTATGCTGCAAGTAACCCTCTCTGTTATTCCATGCCTCTAGACTGCCCTTTCAAGTCCTGTCAGGCTTCTCACTGATGCTTTTAGTAGATGGGTTCACAGTATCCACTAATACCTCTTAACATTTCTCCTAACCTTGAATCTACCTGCTGACTACTCTTTGTTATCTGCACTTACGTCAGTGAGGTTTCTTATACAACTGTGGAAGAGATTGTCCTTCCTATGTGTTGTGTTTTATATGAGGATGTGGTGATGTGTGTGTCTAAGAGCCACAGCCTTCTCTTAGCTCCTTGATGAAGTTATCGAGGTGTTCACAGCATCACAGAATATCTCAAGCTGGAAGGGACTGATAAGGGTCATGGAGTTAACTCCCTCCTCCTTAAACATAAGCACATAAAGCTAAACCATATGGCTAAGAGCATCATCCAGGTGCTCCTTGAACTTTGTCAAGCTTGGTGTCATGATCACTTCCCTGGAGGGCCAGTTCCAGTGACTGACCACTTTCTCTGTAAAGAACCTTTTCCAAATGTCTAGTCCGAACTTCCCCTGTTCATAGAGTTCAGTGTCGATGGAACCCATGTGCCTTTCTGCTTGCTGCTTCTCCATCGTGCCAGCTGCTTATGTTTCCACTCTGCATGCTGAACTGAGCTAGACCAAAATAACTTTGGAAAAACTTTCTTGCATGAATTCAGTGCTAAGACATGGATGATCCACCAACAGCTAGGCAAGTTCTTCCAGTAACTTCCCTCACTGAGAACGTATAGCTTCACTTCATGTTTCATTTGCCCATATTGAGTTTCTAGTGATCTGCTCCTCTGTTCTACTTTCCTAAATTTGTACACCCCTTTGTCTTTCTAAAAACTCAAACTTCCTCATCATTGACAAACATCTCTCATTTCTTCCATATGCTGAAAGACACTGAAGGCTCTAAACTCAGATGTGACCCTCAGTTGAAAATCAAAAATATGCTTTTACTGAATGCTTTTCTCCAGTTTAGCAAAACCATGCGATGCCATGTAGCAAGTAAATACTGATAAAATAAGGAAAGATGGCATTTGTGTTTTCCCTCACACATCTCATTGGTGACATGAAACTAAATCCTAGACAAGCTGCTGTGCTAATAAATGGGGAGCTGCTGTGTTCCTCCTTTGGGGTAGGATCTATATAAACATTTATAATGATTTGCATTTTATATAGCAATGTCTGTAAAATCTTTGAGATGGATGTGTCACCAGACAACTGTTGGGGTCTCTTTGTGGCACAAAAGTCTAGAAAACTGTACCTCTAGAGAAGTCCTTCATCTAGACTCATTTCAGGCCTGAATGTGTGCAGGAATGACCTAGGTAGGGGGCGTGTTGGCTACATCTAATTCAGTTATAAGTGGGTTTTGATTTTGTGTATTCATGTAAATTTGTGGTATGGAGAACCAAGAGCATTTCTGACTCTTAAAATCTTGGAGTCAAGCATGCATTTAGTAGTTGAAGCTTGCTTGTTTTCTCAAAGGAAATGTTTGACACTTAAACTGAGCAATGACTGTAGATTGTCCTATGGTGCTTATTTCCCTTATCTGGTGCAACAATGCTTTGGGAACCCTGCAAAGCCCCTTTGAGTCTTCTCTGCCCACGTCTCCACCCCAGTTTGAAGCTTGCTATCCTGTGGCTTTGCAGGTGACAGAAATGGTTCCCCAGCTGCTCATGACAATCCTCAGTTAGGAAAGGAGTTCATCCAGACAGGCTTAGATGTGGTATGCGAGGTTGCACCCTGCCTGGGGAGTCTTAACCATGTTTTCTCAGGGGACAAGTTTTATGAAGTTTGACTTCCCTTATTTTTGTGTAGTATCTTTCAAATACAGTTAGTTTAGACAATAATTTCATGTCTTGTGGACATGGAAGGAGCTCTAACTAAGATAAAAACTACTGAAAATGCTTTCAATTCTGGCATATAATTGCTTTCCAAATGGCAGAGGACTTGAACAATAAAAGGTAATTCATGTTTTATCTTCTGTCAGTAAAATAGTAACATCTAGTTGGAAGAAGGGTAAACATGGAACAGACAGCAGTGTTCCACCTTTGAGCAGACATTGAGTGCTTTTGTTGCTGTATCTACAGGAAGCATTAGGAGTGGGATGTTTGAAGGGGAATATGTGAATTGTTGAATGTCTATTAAATACTCACTTCAAATAAAAGAAATGGTGACTGTATTAATGATAAACAGATACAAAGAACATGCATATGTGGAGGAAGGGTTTCAACGAGGTATTCTGAAAGCACCCGTGGTGAGGTGGGTGTCAGTCCCAGGGAATCAAGCTGAAGAAACTGAGAAGTTACATGTGGCTGCTGACTGAATGGGCAGGAATTGGATAAATAGCAGTTACTCACGTCATCATTCATACATACATATAAGCCATTGTTTGATTCTTTTACTGCTACTTCTACTAATGGAATTATTTTGTTGTCTTGTGACAAGAACTAAGTGATTTCCCCAGATTTGATTAAGGAAGTTATATTTCTACTGACAACCCCATGTCATTTGCTTTTTCTTTTTAAAATAAGATGGAGGTCAATTAACTGAAAGTATTTGAACTAAATATATTTTGCTTACTGACATTTTGCGTTGTGCTTTTGATTCTAGTGCATGCAGCAGTAATAGCAATTAACGAAGCTATTGAGAGGGGAATAGCTGAGCAAACCATTGCAACTCTGAGGAATCCAAATGCAATGTTGCTAAATGTGGATGAAGAACTTGCACAGGACTATCAGAATGAACTCTCTGAAGCTAAAAGGAGAAAAGAATCAAATGCAAGACTTAAGGTAGTGGAATTTTGCTAGTGGTCTTTGTATACATGTTCCTTTGTGTTGTTTCTCATGCTGTAGTATTAATGTTTCAAAAATCAAGTGAAATTAGTTTTAAAAATTAATTTTGGAAATTAAATTGGGGGAAAACTCCCCATTTTTAAGCAAAATAAGGTAAATAATGGTAATGCAACAAGCTAACACCCAATTTTATAAGAATATGATTACTATGAGTATGGTGGTTGACTTAAAACAAAAAAATACTTGCCTTCCTTTATCAACTGCTTTAGAAAACAACTTTTTTTTTGTGTTAAAGTTTTCCAGTTACCATTTTCAGCATGATGTGTAACCTGCCACAGATCTTTAATGTGAAATCATGTGCTTTGTTTTTAACATGAGTGCTTATGAGTTCTGTAGTTGAAAAATGTTACAGTATATCTACATGGCTGTTGTACAGGGAGCAGAAAATGCTTACAGCGTTCAGCCAGTTACCACAAAGTGCTAATTTTTTTGGTTCATGTTGTCAACAAATTCCTTTACAAATACAGCCAGCAAATATTTCAGCTGATGCAGTTTTAATGACTCCCACTGATAGCTTGTCTCTGCAAAGTTTTTGTGTGTACTAGCAACAATTTTGTTTTCTTAGAACGGCACAATTTCTGAGGAGGAGAGAGATGTCTACGAGGAGCTGCTGACACAATCTGAGATTCAAGGCAATATCAATAAGATAAACAGTAAGCCATTTTGGATCCTTATGGAAGTGTGCACATAAACACGTGATCTTCCAGTTTACAGCTGAACACGACTGGAATCCACAATAACAAACAAAATATTCTGCAGAAACTTACAAAATAAGCAGAAGCAGCTAATACCTGTCTACAAAAGTTGTGTTTTTTTTTTCTTGCTGCTCCTTCTCTACTAATCTTTTGGGGGCTAATGTCTGTGTGGTTTTGTTGCAAGGATTCCTCACTTCAGAATCGAATTATTTACTGCCTGTGCTGTTTCCTTGTGTTCGAATTCCTTTTGTGTGCAGAATACTGTAAATTTTGACCCCCTCTTCTATATAGAGCTGAAAGTCATTCATAAGCTTCCAGTTAGCTGTGATTGAGCTGCTCCCACATGGGCTCACATAGCAGAGCCGGAAACTCCCTTTGTAGGATTGATCTTGAAATAGATAATCCTCTGCTGGATAAAGACTGCCACCCTAGGTGGCTTTTACAAAAAGTAAGAGGCTGACAGCAATGGTCTTTTTTCCACAAAAGAATATTTGCCGTTTATGAGCATTGTTTTCATTTCAGTTCACATAGCTTTAGTCCAAGTGAATGAGGCTATTGACTGGCAAGATGAAGTGGCGCTGATGGCAGGTTTGAGCCGTCCTGCTCTGAGCCTACTTGAAGTTCTGCCGCAAAATTCCTCATGGTACCTATTGCAATTGTGTGATTCTAAAGAACAGAAAATGCAGGTAATTGAATGAAACGGGTGCTACGCATCAGTTTGAACTTCTTTAGCTAATTTTAATCTAGAGGGAAATTGCCTTTAGTCTACCCTTAGCATCACTTAATGAAAGAGTTCTTTATAAAGGTGTTAGAATACCTGATGTGCTAATTGTCAACAAAGTGGCTGCATTTGCTCTAAAGGCCATGATGCCCTTATAAGTAGTTACTAAGATAAAATTTCACATATAGCATGCAGCCCCAAATACTATGCTTTGAAAATGAGTTATAACTTGAGTACTACAACAGGTATTATTGAATTAACAGCAAATGAAAAAGTCAGTTTGGTTTTATGGAGGAAATCCATCATTTTGAGGAAGATGAAAATCACAGGAAAAGATTAATGCTGTGTTTACTGTGACATTGTATTTGATGCACTGGGAATAGTACAATCAAATCCTAGTGTCCCATCGAGGGGTTTTATCCCTATCTCCCATAAAACTTAAAAGCATAATTAAATCTTTTTCTCTGATCTGTTAGATAGCAGGGGTTCCAAATATGCTCGACAAAAGTGAATTACAGAAAGAAGTTAGTGTTGCCAATGTGGAAGCTGAGGCTCACAAGCTTAGTGAGTAACTGTTTTAATACTAATTTTTTGCCATCACCATTTACTTATGTTAAGCTGATGAACTGAATCCACCATTCCTTGCATGTAAATGAGGTTTCTCAAACTGAAACCATACATGTTGCATTTTATTTTTATACCTGTTCTTCTCAGTGTCACAATTGCCAAGTCACCAATCCATGCACCATTAGATATACTCTTTTTTTATCTGAGGTAGCTAACACTTTTTTCCTTAACTAATTTGAGCCACTGGTAAACAAGTTGCCTAAAACTGAAGACAGTGCATGGCTTGATGGCTTGAACAAATATTTATCAGTGTGGTATTAATCCTTACCTGGGAGCAATGACCATCCGTGTGGAATTAAAATAGAATGATCACATGAAAGAATATTTTGCATTCACATTGCAGAGGAAAATTACTCTTACTTTTAGATTTACACACATATCTAAATCTAACCTGTTCTTAGTCTGCTAAGACAGTCGTGAGTTACAGTTTGTAAAAAAAAAAAAAAAAATTATATATATAGTTAAGGGGGATCTAAATTTGCAGTGCATGTATTGCTGCTTTTGACTGGAAACTTCTTTGCTAGGAAGTTCATCTTTGGTAATACTGCTGTCATTTCATGTTACATCTGGGCATGGCTTAGTGGCTGTTTTGTGTCTGGTATTTCCAATGCTTTGAATCCAAGCTGTTTGCTTTTATAATGTGACTTAAAGGCTGTACTGTGAGGTCAACTTAAGCCAGAAGATAAGTTTGACTTACTACCTCAAAAGTTAGCCTATTTTAGATTGGTTAGGCATGACTTCCTCTAGAACAGTTGCCTCTTGGTAAAGGAAATGAGGAGGACATATGTGATGTATGAAAAGCAGTAACAGATCTGGAGAGTAACTTATTTGTTATGTTTGATTTGAAAAGGAAAAAAAAAAGTGGAATGTGAAGGATGTAAAGTGTGTTTTGCAAGTTGCTGCTCATTTCCTGAATTAGAAATCAGTATTGTGGTTACTGACTACAGAATTAGTCTGTTGGTGGACTCTGACTCTTTTCCTCTTTTCTCTATAAAAGCATGCACGCCATAGCTTTGAAAGCCTTTGCTTTTTCTAACCTCAGGAATAGCAAATAGGGAGAGCCTTAAAGAGCACCATGGCCCCATATGACCATACTTCAGAGCAATTGAAATGAGAGGTGAGGGGCTTGTTTAGGTGGACTTGGTTTCTTAGAGAGAGGTTTTTGAAGTCTTTGTGTTGTATAATGATATCTGTGTGTTGCTGCTTACGTGAACTGTGGATGGTGTCTGCTCTGCAAGCGGTCTTGTACAGACCTGAGCAGTCGGTGATCACTAAAAGCCTTCACTGGATTATAGTATACAGAAAAGACTGAGATAAAGCGAAGGAGATGGGAGTTATTTTGCTGATGGAAATGGCGTTTACATAATTGTCATTCTTTACCACATATTCTCTAACCTTCAAGGTTGTTTCCATTTGCACAAGACCTGAGTGGTCTCTTGTACAAACTGTTCCTGGGTGCGTCCTGGACTGGGTGTTTTCAGACTTGGCTCCTCCAGGTGTGCAATTACGGTGCCCGTGACTAAGCTAAGGGGTGTTATGAGGCTTCTGCAGCTACCCAAGTAAGAAGTGTTTTTCAGCATTTTTCTGCTGAAGTTCAAACCTTTACTGAAGTCAGTTCAGCAAAAAGCAGAATGGGTGAGTTGTTCAGGTACCAGAAAGGGTTATGCTTACAATCCTCTATGGTGGCCAGTTTAATGTGAAGTTTAGGCTGTGGAGAAGGGGATAACTTCTAGATGGCAGTGCTTGTGAGGACTAATCTTCCACACGGTTAAGCAAACAAACAGGTGATGGCATGCAGAGGAAGTCCTAGAAGCTGCAGCATATGGTATTTTCAATAGTTTAACTTCTGAAGGTCCCAACCACCCAGCATGTTTTTGGCTCACTTCTACCAGGCCTCCTGAAATGGACGACGAAAATGTTGTTGGTTTGGCAGGACCGGCTTGTTCTAGCTAGCTGAGTTAGGTCCTGCCGGCGAGGGAGGAAATGTGGCGCAGAAGGAAAGGAGCATTTGGTGTGAAGCAAGACTCAGGCGCTGGAGCTGACATACCCAGCAGTACCTGCTGCAAGCAAATACAGGGGGAATGTCTGGCCTTTCTCTGTGCTAGGATGGGGTCAGTCCCTTATTTAGGGTTAAAGGTATAATAAGCTATCTCCAATATCTAAAAGTCCAGAAACTTTAAAGTCCTCCAGTCTGTTATTTGCTGCATGCCTTTAAGTAGACACTGGTTTTGCAACATTCAGCAGTTGTCTTGAAGAATCTCATACAAATATGCTTTTTTTTTTTTTTTTTTGTTCTCGAATGACAGCAAATTATATTCTTTGGAATAACCTCACTGTAATCTACATGGCATAAAAAGGAAACGGCATATGAAAATTAATAGGCTTTTCTTTCCCTGCTGTTCTTTAGAACTTATAGCAGTTGACAATATCAATGCTGCAATTCGTAACTGTGATCCTAGTGTAACACTGGTTGCACTGATGAAACCGGAGGCACAGCTGCCTGTTGTTCACTCATTTGCTGCTGCTGTCTATCAGACTGAGCTGTTCAACCTCCAACAACAGAATGCTGTGGTAAGAGTGAAAAACTTATGACCTGCTCACTGATGTTACGTAGTCAAACTATGAAAGAGCACAAACATAGCATAATGTTGTACACAGTCAGACTTAATTCTCTTGCCATGTTGTTACTTACTGCATGACTGCTTTTGGTTGAATAGGCAATATTGAATTACAAAATTAGTTTCTTGACTTTGCTCTGGATGAGCTCTTGTGTTGCATCAAATTGACTGACATTTTTCAATTGTTGTGTGCTCTTAAGGAGGACTAACTCTGCTTTATGTATTGTGTAGAAAAGTAATGCCCTGCTATGAGGGTAAAATCAGAATAGATGGGACTGTGGGGCAGAAGAATTGAAAGGCTGAAGGATGTGTAGCAAACCCAGTAAACTCTACCATCAGTGTTGTGTTAATTTGGCATGCCTGTGACTAGGCTGTTTGCCAGGCTTTTTAAATCTAGTCCATCTCCTTGCTGGTATCTAGACTGTGTAACCCAAATTTGTTAGACTGCTTACTTAGCTTCCTGACAGCAGTACATTATTGTCCTACAGAACTACCTGGCATATGATGAACTGTCTATTGCAGTAGAAATGTTGTCAGCTGTTGTGTTGCTAAACCAGGCCTTGGAAAATAACGACATCCTAATGATACAGAATCATCTCAGAAACCCATGCATTGGCTTCAATAATCTGGAAGAGGAAAACTTTCAACGGTAAAGGTTCTTTTTGTCTTGTCTGAATGAGACTTGGCAACTTCTACAAAAGGTTAAGTAGGCATTTTGCTAAGTTGGCTGTCCTGAGCTAGGGCTATGAAGTGGGAAGAGCTGCAAGATAAACGTCTGTGTCGTAAGTTAATAAAGGATAACGCCACAATTGCTGAACTAGTGTATCCCTGTATAAGCAGTCGCACAACCTTAAATGTTTGAGGGCAGAGGACGTGTGAGGTGCAAGGAAAATATCCACAGAAAGCAAACATTGAGATCTGACCAGAATTTTTGCAGACGCTAACACATGAACCCGCTGTAGCTGGAAGCTGTTAATCAGTAACCTGTCTGCAGTACTGAAAAGATCTTTGGAATGAGGTAGTGTTTGTCTTAAGGTCCAGGAGATCCCTTAAAACACATCTGGCCCCTTTTTTGCTTGAGAATGGCAAAGGTCTGAAAAACGTAGCACAGTCTTGCTTCCTAAAAAGCCGAGTATGATGCTGGGGCACACATGCATGTTCAACATTAAATTATTGCCTTCACCCAGCTGCTTGCACTGCTACGTGCCTGACTTGTCACAGCTGTGTGCCGCTGCCTCTGCACTCTTATGTGTATCTACAAAATATAGCAGGCAACATGATGATTTGTGAGACCTGAGCCCTTGGTGCGTGGGGGAGAATGTGAGGGTGTGGTTCTTGCCTCTTGGCCATGGTGGTAGAAACATCCATGTACTCCTGGAAGGCATGACTGGGCAAAGGAACCAGCAGTGACTGAAGACCTTCAGCAGGCTGCCAGGGGACATGAATCTGAGAGTGGCCCTTGCTAGGTGTCTCAGAGTTGGAAGGAGGGCAGTCAGTATAAGAATAAGAGGCCAGTGTTTTAGTTAGAGGGAGCAGAACGCCATAAAGTGGAGCAAAATTAAACTGCTGCTTGGCTTCTGTTGGTGCAAGGTGGTGCTTGTGGGCAAGAGAAACAATGGTGTAAGTATACAGAAATGGGCCCCAAAGTGTCCAAGTGCAACATTTTTCTCTGGTGTTACTGTGACCTGATCTTAGATTAAACTATCAGTCAATGTAAATGAATCCCTAAGAATTAGTTGGCGTAGAGAATAAAACTTTTTTATGTCATTACATCAAGCTGTGCAGCCAACCATGTGTTGAATATTGCAGGAAGCTTCGATTGCACAGTATTAGAAGAAATACAGTAGAGCTAGGAAAAGTTCAGTGAGGGAGATGGTATTCAATTACTTTATACCAGAATAGGTGAACTTGTAAGGAATGTGTTTCCTAGAAGAGAAAATTTAGGGGAAATATGACATGTCTGCAGAAGTGTGCCATGTCGTGGGGAAGGTTGATAGAAGTTGCTAGCTTCTTAACTCTATTTTTTAATTTCCTATGAGAATTGGAGCAAGAAAAGATTGAACACTATCAAATATAAAGTTTAAAATTTACATAAAGAACTGCCATTTAACAAAGCACTTAAACAGTGGACTTATTCCTCAATAATATGTAAGATTTCACGTTAGAGTAGATAAATTAATGGAGCATAGCATTGCTTGCAACTCTTAGTGACACGTGGCCTCCAGCTTGAGAAGCCTGTAAATACCGGCTGCTGAATGTTAGAAGGGCAAATTGGAGCAGGAAGTGATGAATTCTCTCCTGGTTTTTTGTTTTGGTTTGTTTTGTTTTGTTTTTTTCCCCTGACAACTGTTCATTTCTCAGGCTTCTGCTGGATATAGAAGACAGGTATTTTACCTGACATATTGTGGAAGTTGTATGAATACGATAATTATTTAAGTTCTGTATACTTGTGTTTACACTACTGTGAAGGTTTCCAGCTCACCTTGATCTGTGATCCTTCTAAGAGTAGGCACAGACTACAGAGCATGTGCTTGGAGGACCTTGAGTTATAGGGGAGAGTAGCATCACTTTTCTATTCCCTTCCTCTCCCCATGGCCCATCATTCTCCATATGGAGGGAGCATGGAGGTAGTGGGAAGTGCTGCTACCTGGTGTTAGGGTAGAAATACTGGTCTTTGATTTAGTGTAGCAAGAAGCCTACCAAATTTATCCGTAATGCTATCCAGCAAAATGTATGTCCAGTGTATGTATTAACATCATCCCACATTGCCAAAAAAAGTGCTCTGAGTTAGTGTGCAGAGCCATTTTTTCAGATCCTAAAATGCATGTATAGAATCAGCTTGCATGTCTGTATGATTTCTGGCAAGACATGAGTTTGTCTGAAATTCATTCATTGAAAAAAATGCCAGGCACTAAATGATGGATGATACATCTGACTAATTCTTTATGTCAGTTTATCTTATATATGAAATACACTTATGTATTTTATATCTTCTTATAGTTATGCTGATACACTATTGTCTATTAAGTCAGAGGCTTCATCTCAAGGCCAAGATTATTTAAGCTGGAATGATATCCAGAACTGCATTGACATGGTTAATATGCAAATTCAAGAAGAAAATGAAAGTAAGTAATTCTTCCTCTACATCACCCACAGAGATGGTGGACTGGTCCTTGGTACAAAATTTTCTATGATGAATGGCCTTGTACAGACACTCTTCAGGAGTGTTAAATAATTTTGAACACTTGTTGGTCTTTAAATGTCCTTGAAGTGTTTCTGGTTATGTTTTGGCTGGCTGAAAGTTCTCATAGGGTGCCTGTCTTCTGCAGTCTCAAAAATGCCATGGTTCTGCCTACTTGGCAGTATCTTTCAGTATTTGCACTGGATGGTCTCACTTTGGGAATTTTGCAGAAATTGTACGCAAAGAGCATCAGGCGGTGTCCCATGGAAATGTTTTTTTATTGTTAAACCATTTTCAAGCTCTTGTTTTTCACAAAGGAATCAGTAAGAAGTTACGCAGCGCAATTATCTGCCCTGCTCTCATTTTAGGTAACCTGATTGCCTCTCTGAGAGTAGCTTCTTGTGCCTGCTTTTTCTAATATAAATGGATTTTGAGTTTCTTTTTGAAGCTGAATGTAACTGCATTGCCCTAAATTATGTTAATATACGTGTTACATTAAATGTGATAGCTGGTCATTCAGGCTTCAGAAGTGCTAAAGGACCAAGTTTCTCCACAGGATATAGAAGTATAATTTAATTTTTGTCATCCTTCCCCTCCCACCCTAAAAATTTGAGGCTGTCAAGTAGTGCCTGGTTTGCTGGAGCAAGGAAGGGAGAGGGCAGCTTTCACACCACTTGTGATTTGGGAAGCAGTTTGGAGTATAGTTTTTGAGCCTTTGAGACCTACGCTGCTTTCAAGGTGGCACTGATGCGCGGTGCCTGTGTCGTGTATGCTACCCCTTCATACTGGTAAGAGATGTTACAGAAATACTGAAATTGGCTGGATTGTTGCTTCACAAATCTTGTCAAGTGGTTGCTGTGGACTCTGGCGGCTCGGTCGCATTGTATGCCTCCTGGCAGGCTGGGATGCTGAGCAGTTCATTTGATTGACATAATAACATTTTTTGTCCAAATCTCTGCAGTCACCAGGAGTTGAAACAGGCCTTAATAAAGGTGGTCTTACATTAGGAGTCAGCCTGCATTACTAAAAGTAGCTGCATTTGGTTTCAGTGACACTGGCCTCTGCCTGGGTATGGTTATTTGAAGCAGAGAGCGGAGGAGGAAGAGTGGCCTCTCCATACACAAGCACACATGCCTGCATGCTCCCTCTTTGGTAGCATCCCAGAAAAATTGCTCATTCCCAAAGCCTTGTGAGGGCATGGATCTGTGACTCCACCAGCTGTGGTGGGTCTGGGAGAGACTTGGTGAGAAACAATCTGCTGCTGGCAGGAAAGATGGAGAAACCTCTGGCTGATGTCCTTCTGGGGTGGCTTTGGGGAGAAGTTATGCCGAGCAGCACATTTCAGCACTGCTTTGGGATAGGAGGAAATTGGTTTTAAAATGTTGAGGCCAGTCTGAAGAAAATGAGTTAGAGGTTTTATTAGATACACCAGGCCATGTAACTTGCTGACTGAAGTCCTGACTGCCACTGGTCTGCACAATTAAGTGATTTCTCACAAGGTCAGTGTTATCGGACTGGTTATTTAAGATGGAATTTAAAGCAATTAGGTTAAGTTGCTATGTAATGCTGTTGGTTTACTTTTTTCATCAAGGATAAATTTGACTTTCATAAAGAGGTCAATTTCAATTCAGATCTACCTCTAATCAGTAACTGTGGCAGAAAGGAATACTGTACAACTTAATAGCCTCACATGAATATTTGAGCAAAAATTATTCAGCTGCTGCTGCTGCCTCTGCTTCTTGTTACTTGATTTTTCTCTTCATGTTATTTCTTTGTTTGTACCTAATGTAGGATAAGTTGCATCTTTCTTTGATAACTGTCTTTTAATAACTTTTTGTTTCATAGGAATTCTTGCAATTGGCCACATTAATGAAGCAATTGACCAGGGAAATCCTGAGAAAACTCTAGAAACCCTTCTGTTGCCCACAGCCAAGCTGCAAGATGTGAGACCAGTAAATGCAAGGCACTATCAGGATGTCCTGTACCACACCAAAGCACAGAAATGCAAGGTTAGAGCTTTGTTGCTGTTTTTCAGAACTGAAATGCCAATTCTTCTCAATTACGTGCGTCCCTGTCCTGTTCTCTAGTGTTCGGATTAGCTGTGCCAATGGGGTTGTAAATAGAGCAATGACAATGAACTGGCACTAAGTAATTTTCCACTACAGCTTATTCTGAGTGGCAAAAGGGATTAATTATCAATGTATCAATACTAAGACATATTTTGCATGTGTGTCACTAATGACTTGATGTACCCCTGTTTATTTTTAATTCTAGTAGGTTGCTGCAACTATTACAAAACATGGGCAGCAGCAGCCCTGACGTATTTATGAATTTGTGCACGGATCTACTTATTAGACTGTGTGTCAGGCAGGTAGTTACCATATGGATGAGAACTGAGGGTTTTGCCAGGAAGGAGTCATAGTCATCTTGAAGGAGTCATGGTTTTCCTTAACAAACCTCTGGGAAGAACTTTGAGCAGTCTCAGTCGCTTAAAACTGGTGTTTTATAATAGTGGAGTCTTGTACATATTTCTGTTCTGGCTTCATCATGCAACAACATACTGTCTGTCCTGTATGTGCCTTCAGTTTAAACCTATCTCAGCAAGATACTGCTATCCGCTTCCCCCAAAGCAGTGCCCTGGTTAGCATCACAGCTCAGGAAAGCATAAACAAAGATCAGCCTAACAACTTGCAGGATGTGACTGAACACATTAGCTAAAGCTAGTAGCACAACACTTCATGCCCAGTGTATGGAAAAGACGCTTAAAACTCACATAATGTGTTCCTAAAGTAATATGGTCAGCTGGAGAAGGTCCCTGAACTTTGGCTTGTAGAAATACCTTGAAGCTATCTTGCCACCTTACCTGTGGTATCTTCTTGTGAAACAGTGTGTTTCTGCAATCCACTATCAGAGCTTCCAGAAGGTGTTTGCACATCTCAATTTGTAGCTTGGATTCCTGGGTTACGGCTGGTTTCCCTGAGCCCTGGATTCTAGAAAGCCTCCTCCCTTGCCATGTGTGCTGTAGAAGGTTTAGTGCATGCTGACAACTTTACCCATCCTGGAAGGGCCAGGGTTGGTATTTTAGCGCAAAGTGTGGCTGTGCAGTGCTGGACTGGGACATGCCAGGCACCTTGTGCACGTGTCACAAGCCAGGATGTCCCCACAGCAGAGACCTACAACTGCCACTGTGCTCCCTGGGTGTAAACTTGGTGCCTGCTCCTGTCCCTGTGTAAATGTGCTGATGGGAAACAAATGGGTGTTTCAAACTTTTGGAACAAAAATTGTGCCATCTCTTTGAAATCTTCCTGAAAATTCTGTGATGTTCTTAGACTTCCACTGGCCTTTTTCTCCTGAAGTATTTTGGTTCTGCAGTCTTCTGACAACTATTTAAAACGTCTCCTCTTGGCATCACTATTTTTAGGTAAAGATACGATTTAGACTGAACTTCCCTTTTAAAAAAAATCAAAAAATAATTGAAAAGGTAGTACATTATTAAAAGTCTGTCTATCCCCTACTTTTTCTGAGCCCTGTTTATAAAGCAGATCTGCCTTTAATGGCATTTAGCATGTTTTAAGAGTGAGCTGTGGTAAAAGGAAGTATTTGATTTACAAGGATCAGATAGACCTGCCTGTGAACTTCCTGTGTTCCCTGGCATTGTCTGGAAAAACATATGGGTCAAACCTGCTCATTTATTCTAACCAGCCTGTTGTCACATCCATGTAGCTGTGGTATTTTTGGAGAAGGACAGTCTGCACCCAAATCTCCCAGTACCCGTTATAGGTTTTAATCTCAGATCACAACTACTTGTTCCCTGCTTGAAATTGAAAATTCAAACCTGGAATTTATTTATTCATTCCTGTAATGTTAAACCACAGCTTCTAGCAGTTCTCAAGGCCATTTCAAATCAAGTGTATTCAGGTCCCAGTGAAGAGAAACCCTGTGTTTAGGCAGTGTATTATGGATACCTGAAAAGTTAAACAGATGTGCCAAATTCTGAAATGGTTCCTGTTTTATTTTCACTTTTTATGTGATAGGCACATAGTTTTTACAGTTAGGTTCACATTTTTTGTATTTACAATAGCTGCATAACATCTGGATTATTTTAAAGTTAGCTTTAAAATCTGTTCTTTTTCATGGTGAAGGAATGGCATGATTAAAACTAACTTCAGTTAGAAGCCAGAAGAAATTGAAAAGGGGGAGTCTTACTGGGTTGTATATTCTTTGAGGACATTTTCCAGTGCAAATTATTTTATTTAAGTAAATTTTTTTTACAATACAACTATTGAACTGATGCAAATAATTTTTTTCTTATCGTCTTACGCTGCAGTTACAAATACAAGCACCAACCACTGAGGTCATTTTGTAGAAACTTAACACTCAGCATATATGTAGCTTTTGAGTTTCTGTAAATGTAAAAGCTGACCTCTTGCTTCAGTAATGTGGACAATCCATCATTACTAGCTTCAGTGTTTGTAACACTGTAGGTATTTCCTGTGAGGATGTGGAAATAGACAATACAATAAAAAAACTTCCCTGTTTTGCTTACCAAGCAAGAATAATACATGCCTGGATTCACACTGATAAGGGTTAGCTCCCAGCAATCCTCATGGGCCAGATGAGTGCAGGCGCTGACGAAGTGGAAGAACAAGTCTCCAGTGCAAAGCTGGTTAAGCAGCCTCATAGGAGATGCCACCTTGGAAGTGTCAGGCTTCATGTCCACGGCTGTAGATTTATTGCTCCTTGACCCTATGGGGACTCTGGCTCTTTATTTCCAATATCCAGAGTATTTGCTCTCGGCTGCATGACAGAGAGCTTCTGCAAAGCTCGGCAATTCCCAGGCATGTAGGAAGTGCTTTTACTTGTTCCCATTTCCTCTGCACCAAAATCTTGTTTCCACATCACTGTTCCTGCAGTGATTGTGGGCTTGAGAGCTAATTTGAACTATCTGGAAATCACGAATGGGCCTAAAAGTGCTGTTTGGATATTGATTCCTTTTCTGGTGGTCAGAGGCTGAGGTGACTGATATTCTAGTTTCTTCTCCCTGGCCATGAAAGTGATCACCTGAGAAGGAAAAGCCACTTCCCTGAATCCAGGTACACCAGATGCTGCAATACACCTGATAAAATTACAGAGCTGGAAATAAGTGTATTTCTGAAGACATTTCAGTTTAATTGCACCTGAGGTTTGTTGCTGCATGGATTAACACTATACAAAAACCTAATTCCAATAATGCAAATATAGAACTAATTTCATTTCTCTCTCGATACTTTAACCATTGTTAGATAAATATTGGATTGACTTCTGATTCTGGACATCAGAAAATAAAGAAAAGGGTCAAGACAACTGTTTAAGCTGCTAAGGCATAAAGCAATTAGATAAAAAGAATACAACCCATCTGTGCTATAGTAGTAATAGTTAATGTGATGGATAATAAGGATAATATTGCTTGGCACAAAGCAAATAGCAAAGATAGTAAGGATCAAAAGACTGACTTTAACGTACCAGAACCATTCATGAGTCTTGAGTGTTTGTATAATTGAGATGTAGCAGAAAACAATAGTCACAAGAGGTATTAAAAACCCAAAGATAACTAAAGAAACATAGTAGTAGAACTGGAAGGAAGATACTGTTTCACAGGCATGGTGCACATCATGGCAGGTATAAATGCCTAGTTGCTTCACGTAGTAACTTTGCTGCATTATGCAAAGCGGGAGCATGTACAAGAAGACGATGGTCCACACAGTAGCACAAACTGCGATGGCATAGGCACGTTTTGGCAGGTTCTTGTAAGTGAAGGGGTGAACGATGGCCACGTAGCGGCTGACACTGATGCATGTAAGTAGCAGAATGGAGCAGTACATGTTGCCGTAAAATACCGCAGTGGTAGTTCGACACATCATTTCCCCAAAAATCCAGTTGTTTCCATTGATGTGGTACACTATTTTGAAGGGTAGCATGATGCAGAAGAGCAGATCTGAAACTGCCAAGTTTGTGTAGAGGATAGCAGTGCATACGGACCGGATCCGGAAAAGCAGCATCCACAAAATGATGGCATTAGATGGTACACCAAATAAAACAGCACTGAGGTAGACAGCAGGTATTAGCTTAGTACTCAGAGAACTGGTCAGGTACTCTAACGTGGTGTTGTTCACTTCTGTTAAAGTGGAGTCATTTGACTTTTTTGAAGAGCATTTGTGTTCTCTGATATGGATGGTCTTCGTCTCCCCTTCTATAGCATAAGGGGGGATGTAATCGTAGTCCCTTGCTGAAATTCCACGGAAAGTCTTGATAAGAGACACTGTTTTAATTGCAGAGCCATTCAGTGAAAATTCGGAAGCTTAAGAAAAAAAAGTTAAAATTAGTATAAAAAGGCAAACTACCAGACTAACAATATAACTCAACTTCAGATAAGGAGAAGAGTATTCCTCCTGTGAAAAGCACTATGTATGTTTAAAAGATTTGGTTGCATTATTTGCTCTGGGTGTTCATACCGAATGTGCTCAAGGGCAATATTCACTGTCATTTCATTTCACAAGCAACCCTAAACGTAGCATGAATTTAGTGTTAGGCTGATCTTTCTGCATTTCAGATGCATTCAGTAATCTCCAGCAAAAACCAGCAGACACTTATGTAACCTGTATCACTGGCAGAGGGTTTTGCCCAGTAGTAGAAACACTGGTAGTTCAGCGTAGAAGCAGCAGCCTTGGTCTAGGCTTTATCAGAATGTCTGAAGCAATTGGCGGTACGATCCTTGTCACTTTGGGATGAAATACTTGACTACAAAAGATGTAAAAAGTGCTGTCTTGCCTCACACAGTCTGAAACTTTCAAATTAGTAAATTGAAATAATTTACTCAATGTTTTAGTCTCTCACATATCAAATTGATGTTAGTGCTGTGTATTCTTCAGCTTCTGACTAAAGCAAACCAGGTCTTTTCATCTTCTTATACTGAGGAAGGACAGTTAAACTTGAAAACTGAATACAACTGCTTGGATTGATGTTAGATCAAATTTATTCATAAGTAAATAAAACAGCAGGGAAATTTTCAGTGAGTAAATATTCTTAGCGTGTGGACAAAGCAAACGATGCCACTTTTATTAAAGCCTGTTACTAAGTCTTCAAAAGAGAACTTTTTAAAGACACTGACATTTCCATATGAAGCACAAATGTGTTCAACATCTGGTTTTAGAAAGTACTTTGCGAAATAGACTTTGCAGAATAAACAGCTGTGTAATTAATTTGGTAGTTCAAAAGTTTTCTTAGCTGTGTCCAATGCCAAAAGACTTAGTGTGAAGCTTAGAGCATGCATCTTGAAACTGGAATTCAGAAGTGAACTGAAATCTGTATGAAAATTTGTTGTGGGATTTTTTACCATTCCATGTTAGAACTGTTTTCCATGTTTTATTCCATCTATGCTTCCTGGCAGATATGATAGAATGTTTTGAAATTGCAGTTAGTTGACTGCATTTCTTTCAGCAATTTTCTGAATGGTTAATCCAAAACATGAATTTTAGTCTCTCTTCAAAAGACATATATATGTGCATGTTTGTGTATATATATTGTATATACAAAACAGCTTTTGAAAATGAGCTTGGCTTGCAAACAGAGTTGATTTTAGTAAGGAAAAAATTAGGCTTATTTGACAATCGCCTGTGGTTATTTTTGTCATAATTTCCTTGTAATAGCACCATCTGTGAAGCTGTAATTCTGTTGAATGTTTTAAAGCAGAAAGTACAAGACACTACAGGTTTAAGGTGGTTATATCACTACAGAAATATTAGAGAGAAGGTGCATCTTCAGTAAGTGCAGAAAGATCCCTTAAATAAAATTCCTTACAGAAAGTCTCTGGGCAAAGGCGGAGGGGGAGGTAGTGTCACTGAAATGGAAGAATAATGAATCTGCTGTGAGACTTCCTAGAGCGTAGCTTTCTGTAATGATGCATGTACAACACGTTTAAACTGGCAAAGCACCAACGTCAAAAGGACCACGTTATTGACTAAAATACAGAACAGACACAGAAAGGAGGACTCACCGGTTGTGAAAAAACAGGAGGTAAGAAACAGCAATCCAGTGAAAACCAGTATCTTCATTGTAGTACAGTGAAATCCAGCTAGACAAACAATGATGCTGTTCTAATACATCTTAAGAGATGTTTTGTAGGGGATTTTTTTCCCCTTTGTAAGGGGCTAAAGAGTGATTGATCTGTCCTCCAGCAGCATCCTGTAGACATGAGGTTTATGGTAAGGAGCTAGTTTGTTCTTTGTCTACTACACAAGAGGGTGTGACGTTTCCAAATATGCACACATGACTCAGTTTCAGCCTCTGCCCAACACAGATAAAATTGCTTTACAGCAGCAATTTAACTCCTAATTTACCATGAGCCTGAAGCCAATCTGCAGGGTTCTAGTGGAATTTGTACGTACAGATATTTGGGGAGAAAATGTATTTTCCAGAAAAAAATCAGAGGTATATTTAGTAAATTCCCAAAGGTCTCACCCACAAACTGAAATCCCGCCAGCCCTGGGAAAGTGTGTGGTGATCTCAGTTTAGCAAATGCAAAGGTGAAAGCAAGCCACACATGTAAGCGTGCCTTCAGAAAACTGCTCTGCATTGCCTTCTACCTACCTACCCACTATTAGCTGCCTGTGCTCCTTCGATCCGACTGCCTGCTCGGCTTAGTTCCCACCCCTTCACAGCCTGCAGCTTCTAAAACCTTTCCCCTATTTTCATCTGCTGTTTTTCTTCATCCCCTGCTTTTTCACTGACTCTTTTTGTGTTGTGGTTTTTTTTTTTTATCTTGAATGCCAAGTAATTAGCCCAAATCTTGGTCTGGCTCCAAGCTAGTAAGGCTTGGTAAGGCTCAGCATAAGCTGTACTTGGCTCCAGAGCTGTATTTGTGTCTGTTCTTGTATTTAGTGTGTAGAAGCTAGATACCAGACAAGGAATTCTTTTCGGTTTCTCAATTCTCTTCACAAAATTGTCAGCTGCAGTTTGGGAATTTAGTATATGTTCTCTCAAGTGTTAACTCCAACTTTCAACTAGGCTTGCAGTGTGTCCACTGTTGTACAATTCACTGATACTACTTGATTTTATTTAGATGTACTGCTACCTTGTTTACATACGTGAGGCAAACTGAAGTATCTCTCTTTCATGGTTTTTTACTGGTTTTTTCTTTAATTTCTGTTGGTAACAAATTTATTGGATGTTTGTCATGGAGTTGGGTGGAAAAACAGGGATATCCCATTATGAAGCTGCTTCTTTACCCACAGTGTTTTAGCTTGAGAGAGTCTTTGGCTTTTATTTCCTGCAATATTTGTGTATGTACTCCTAGATCTTTATCAAATCAGTACATTCCTTTTTCCTTCATCATTAGTCTACTACAGACCTGGCACTCCTATTTCCTCTTTAAAATGAAGTTTGTTCCCTCCACATACTAGATTAGATTTTAAATGCCACTTTAGCTCTGAAACCTTATTTTCTTAGCCCAAGTTTCAGTTCACCTGTGACCCAGGGCAGCAGGAGCACCGTCGGTTAGTGGGGATGATCAGCCCACCCTCTGTTTTAACTTGGGTTTAATGCCATGCACTGTTAGGCTGCAGGAAGCATGAGACCTTCTCTGCTGCTTAATTCCTGAAATGTTCACCACCCGTGCTAAGTCATCATTACTAAACCTGAGCTGTCTTTCTAGCAAGTACCAGCAAAAACTGACATAATGTAATACGTACTCAGGTGTGCACGTGGATCTTTTCCAAATAAGGGATTCTGAAAGAAAGCCAACTTCCTGCAGTTTTCTGATTTGTGTTCTTTATGCTACTATCGCAGTGCTGCCTGATGTGTGGTTCTATTTTGTACCCAGATTACTTTGCCTGTGTATCATGGAAATGAAAATGTTTCTAGCTGTAATTAAAATCTCT